CACAAATAAGAAATATTACGGGTACCCGGGAAACCGGGTATCCTCTCGTTGTTTACTGCCCGGGTAGCATTATCAAATGACGGGTAACCGTTGATTCTCTATTTTTTTATTTTTTTTTAAGTTTTGAATCATTAATTGAAATAAAACAACTTAACAATATGAAATTGATATTTAAAATAAGATCTTGAATAAATAGTTCTGATTTCTTTATCACCGTTAGAATTTCTAAAAAATTGAACAAAAACGTTCGGATAGTTATTTGAGTTTCTGATTCGGAAACCCACTTTAAAGTTTCACTTATGCAAATTATATATAAAATGTTTTCAGTTGCTTATTAACAGTTTTTCCAAAAAAATATATAAAATGTATAAATATAAAATATAAATGTAAAATAAAATAAATAAATAATAAAAAAATAAATGTAAATTAAATAAATATAAAAAATAAATGTATAAATAAAAAATATAAAATGGTTTCAGTTGCTTATTGACAGTTTTTCAAAATAAAAAAAAATTTTGTAAAAAGAAGTATTTTTAAGTGCGCGTAGTAAATTTATTGTAAATAAATAAAATATTATAATAAAATTCCATCAATTTGTAACCAACTAAAGTTTTATAAAAGCTAGTTGTTGTTCTTTCTTCTTTATGCTTTACTTTTAAAAACATATTAATTAAGTTTTAAAAACATTTTAAAACACTAATTTCATAGAAAAAAGAAATTGGTAAAGTATCAAAAGTGTGGTCTTATGCAGACTGAATCGATAAGAACAGCGTGAATTCCAAGCAATGTGATGCAATTTTGACAGCGAAGGACGGAACACAAGCACTATCCGAAACCATCTTACTGGAACACATATAGATGATAAACACATAGAACACATATAGTTGATGTCATTGGGAGTTTGGGCGCACTTAAATATTTTGTTTTTCTTTACAGCTTCGCCGCCTAAAATAAAGAAAGAAAGAGAACTAGTTTTTGGATCAGAAAATAGCAGACTTCATTGCTCTTGATGCACACCAATAAGTTTAGTTGAAGGTGATTTTTTAGCTTGTTGAAATATACAGATCCAGACTATGTTGTTAAAACTTGTTCGATTGCCACAAAACTGATAAAGATAAGATACAACGAGACGGTCAAGTCACTGAAACTGAAATTAGGTAAAGCATAGTTTGTAGCTTTTACAACGGACAAAAAAAAAAATTGCATATATGTGTGTATCTGCGCATTGGGTTAACACGGAGTTGGAGCTGGAATTTGAAATCTCGCAGACACGAGAATGTCCTGAATGGCACACTGGAGAAAACACCAGTATACGTTTGCAGGATGCTGCTGACGAGTAGCGAATTCCTGTTTAGAAAATCGCTGCTACAATCCATGATAACGACTCAAATATAAACCAAGCAGTCGAATTTTTGATGAATGGCCAGATCAGCGCTGTTTTGCTCACATGCTACAGTTAGAATTGGAACTGATCTGAAACTTCCTTCAATTGTGAATATGATTCGGGCTGCAAGGGTATTGGGGGCATATTTCAAGTGAAGTACATTAGCAATTCAAGAATTGCGTAACAAACAAGCAGCACTGAGATCAAAGGATGATGAAAAAATATTGGAAGTCATCATAGACTGCTCTGCTCAATGGAATTCCACGTCGGAAATGTTATTTGTGAATTATTGAAGCTACATTGGGTGATTGAAGCCGTGCTGTCTGACCGAAATTTTACATCAAAAAGAAATGCGTTAACTCTACAAATGACGGATGAAAACTAGTTGCTTGCGCAAGTCATTATACCTATTCTAAAATCATTAAAGCAGGTAATAACTATGTCATCTGGTCAGAAATATCCTTCGTTGTCATAAATTTATCCACTGTTGTCTATTGTTTTAAAAAATGTTTTAGCAGCAAAACCAGACAAATGCATTGCCTCCAATAATCGCAGAAATGTTATTGCTACTGAAATAACAAAGCGAAATTATCCGGAAGGATTCAGTGTACTACCTGGACCAAGAACATCTGTATTAGATCCACGTTATAAGCTTTTAAAACTTTTCGAAGACCCTCTTCGAAAAAAAAACATACTCCGCCATTAGAATTAAAATGGAAGCTATTGTTATGCCATTATTAGAAGAAAATATAGAAGTAAAAGCAGAAGAACTGATGTCGAAGCAAACACGGGATCATTTAGAACCGGACTTACCGAAAGAGAATGTTTTTGATGAACTAACATTGTTATGCGCAACCAACGAAGGGTTTGGACATATGGATGAATTGGCGTCTTACCTTGCGGAAACGCCATTGACTATCAACGGAAGTATCTTAGAGTTTTGGCGAGATAACACCAAACGTTACCCAAAGCTTTCTATTTTGGCTCGCAAGTACATGTGCATACCTGCGACTTCGGTGCCAGCAGAATGCGTTTTTTCAACTGCTGGACATTTAGTCAATCGACGGCGTTCATCATAGGCACCCAAAACAGTAGACATTTTAGTTTTTCTTAAACGTAATTGGAAGTTGTGTGTCCTGGACACTTAGTGTAAAATAAAGTTTAGATTTAAGTAAGATTTTAAATGAATGACATCATTGATCGAGACGTTTTTATTGTTTTTTATAAGTAAAACTTTTATAAAAAAAACTATTTTTTAACGAGTACCCGGGTACCCGCCCGTTCGTTCGACGGATACCCGGGCAAGCATTTTTACGAATTTTGACAGCCTTAGTCACAAAACCCCCACCCCAAAACGTGGCGTTATTTATGGATGATTCCTTATATAAAATCCGCAGAACAACAACTTCTACACAACAAAAAACACAAAATAATTTGTAGTGAAAATATATTTGAAGAACGTTGTTTTGAATTTGAAATAAATAATTCCATATATATATATATATAATAACTGTTAATAAATATAAAACAAATATTTAATTATTTATAAATATAAATATATACATATATTTTTTAGTATACATTAATTTTAATAATTTATTACTGTATACCCGCAGTTCGGTACAGCTTTTACAAATGCCATACGTAAAAATATTTACTCTAAAGAAACATCATCAATTACTTCATTATCTTCTGCTTCTTCATCATCGTCATCATCAAGATCATCTTCATCGTCTATACTTTTTTCTATCATCTCCTCATTAAATCTGGCTGTTTTCCACATTACCGCCACAAGCCGTTCTATTCGAGAAAATGCCCTATCTCTATATTTTCCAGTAAGTGACTTACTTGAATTTAATAAATGCATTTCGTGTATTAATAAATGTCTTCGAAACACTCTCTGAATTCTTTTCGCTGCAGCATTCTCTGTTTGTAAACGTTGCTTTGTGGTTTCAACTGTATTCTCTTTAGCCCATAAAGGAAATACCTGTTTATAGCGGGAATGAACTTTGCTCATTACAGCTCTAACTCCTTCACTATCTTTACAACTTGATTCCCCTAACGAACGCTTTATTAATGCTTCCATTACATCTAAGCAATGGCACCTAAATTGGTCTCGGATTGGGATATCACTTTGCTCTAAAAACCAATAATTTGGTTTTGCTACCCTTAAAGGCCCATCTAAAGAATCAAGAAAATCTGATAATTTGTTATAACTTATAAACTGCGTTGCCTTCGGATCAAAATCCTCCCAAGAGGTGTAATAGGCTTCAATATCGTCTTCCGTAATTCCAGCATCATCTTGCGATTGGGCCTGATTAAAATTTTCTAAAATCACTGCTATATACATGTTGATTGTAATAAGTACAATTAAAATTATGTATGACACAAAAAAAATGATTGCTACTAGCTTATTACCGCAATCTCCTTTTGAAATGCCACTTCCTTTTTCAAGATTTACATTACACATAGGGGGTTGAACCATTGCAGCTTCAAGAACACCATTCCAACCTGCAGCTGTGGCAATTCGAAACAGTAAACAAAAACTACTTCCAAAGGTTCTAAAATTAGTAACTTTGGTTAGTGAACCTTGAAGTTTTAAGTTACTAAACAAGTTCATTGCTATAACGGCATAAATAAATGTAATAAGAAAAAGTAAAGTTCCAATGTTACTAAGAGCAGGCGCTGATTTAATAATAGTAAATAAAAGTTTTCTTATGCCTTTGGCCCCTGCGAAAAATCGAAGTAGGCGCCCTAATCTAAATACACGAACAACCCTAAATAAACCAGGTGAAACAAAGAAGTTTTCGTTGTTTTCTTCCATGATAATTACTAAAGAAAGTATAAACATCATTACTAAAAAAATATATAAATATTTTCATAATATTTATTAAACAAACAAATATATTTAAGAAATATAAACATTGAATATATCAAATATAAGAGTAAATTTTAATATTATTTATAAAAATTATGTTAAATTTTTATATTATAACACTATATTTAATTATTAAATTTTATTAAATCTACTTTTAGTTATTAATTTAAATATTTAAACTTAATATATAATAGTTTTTAACAGTTAATAAAAGATTGCATTACCTTAACAATGCAGCTCAAGCCTTTGTTATTCTTTGTAAGGAATCTTTGAGTTGTAAAATTTCTTCATTTTATTGTTATTAAATTTACTGTATTAAGCTATATTAGACTCAAATTTTTAAAAACTAAATTGTCAAAATAATTTTTTAATTATTTTCAGAAATTTAAGTTAAAGTTTAAAAATTAACATAGTAAAATGAAATATTTAAAAGTATATATTTATTTACCATTTAAGCATTTATTTATACCGTTTAAAATTGTGTTTAATGAAACAACGATGGGTATTTTGGTCTATTTTATAATTGTTTGGTCCTAAATAAATCAGCTGAATAGAAAAATGTTTATATAGGTAATATTTTTGCAGTATGGTTTACCTTAAGTTGTGTTAATAAAAGATTAGGCGTTGTTTCAAAATTCTGTAAGCGCAATAGTATGCATAAATATTGTATAAAAAAATAATATAACTAGAAAACTATAAAAAAATAATAAACAAAGAATAAACAAAGAAAAAACGTACCAGCAATAGATAAACAAACAATGATGAAATCAAAGATATTCAATCCATACTTAAAATACTCAAGTCTCATTGCGATAAGACGAACAATCGCCTCTAATGTAAAAATCCCAGTGAATAAATAGTTAAGATAAATAAGTGCCAAATCAAATTCCAAAGATTGATGGTGATGTTGAAGCATCATGGTCACCATATTAAGAAGAATTACCGACATTATAAAAAATTCAAAGTATTTGGCTTGAATAAAGTCAAATAAAGCAGCTCGCCATTTGGACTGTTGTATGTAAAATAATGTAAATTAAAGTAAATAAATTTAAGTTATACCATGTAATCATCAAATAATTGTATCTTACCATCAAGTAACCGTTACTTACCGTAGGTCTTGTCAATCTACGAGAAGGCTTCTTTAAAGAAGCAGCTTTTAAAGTATTCACCCAGTTCCGTTGCCCAGGTGTTAATAAAACCCCAACTCCATCTTCATATTGCTGTTTCAGCCTATTGAAATTATCAATAATCACTCCAATAAACAGATTTAAAATAAAAAATGCTCCCAAAACAATGAACACAACAAAAAAGATTTGATTAGCGTAATTGTTTCGATATACAGGTTGTTCGTCTTCCTAAAATAAAGAATAAAATATATAAAAAAAATATAAAACGTAATTAAACAACTACAAGTTTATTTTTAAAAAATTTTACATTAAAAAAAAAGATGATTGGTTTCAAGATCACAAGACACATTCACACAATCACAAGAAATATATTAAAGACACATTCACACAATCACAAGAAATATATTATTATTAAAGACACATTCACACAATCACAAGAAATATATTAAAGACACATTCACACAATCACAAGAAATATATTAAAGACACATTCACACAATCACAAGAAATATATTAAAGACACATTCACACAATCACAAGAAATATATTAAAGACACATTCACACAATCACAAGAAATATATTAAAGACACATTCACACAATCACAAGAAATATATTAAAGACACATTCACACAATCACAAGAAATATATTAAAGACACATTCACACAGTCACAAGAATTATTTGAGATACATTCACACAATCGCAAGAAATATATTATTATTAAAGACACATTCACACGATCACAAAACATATATTAAAGACACATTCACACGATCGAAAGAAAAATATTAAAGACACATTCACGCGATCAAAAGAAAAATATTAAAGACACATTCACACAATCACAAGAAATATATTAAAGACACATTCACACAGTCACAAGAATTATTTGAGATACATTCACACAATCGCAAGAAATATATTATTATTAAAGACACATTCACACGATCACAAAACATATATTAAAGACACATTCACACGATCAAAAGAAAAATATTAAAGACACATTCACATGATCAAAAGAAAAATATTAAAGACACATTCACACAATCACAAGAAATATATTAAAGACACATTCACACAGTCACAAGAAATATATTAAAGACACATTCACACAATCACAAGAAATATATTATTATTAAAGACACATTCACACAATCACAAGAAATATATTAAAGACACATTCACACAATCACAAGAAATATATTAAAGACACATTCACACAATCACAAGAAATATATTAAAGACACATTCACACAATCACAAGAAATATATTAAAGACACATTCACACAATCACAAGAAATATATTAAAGACACATTCACACAATCACAAGAAATATATTAAAGACACATTCACACAATCACAAGAAATATATTAAAGACACATTCACACAGTCACAAGAATTATTTGAGATACATTCACACAATCGCAAGAAATATATTATTATTAAAGACACATTCACACGATCACAAAACATATATTAAAGACACATTCACACGATCGAAAGAAAAATATTAAAGACACATTCACGCGATCAAAAGAAAAATATTAAAGACACATTCACACAATCACAAGAAATATATTAAAGACACATTCACACAGTCACAAGAATTATTTGAGATACATTCACACAATCGCAAGAAATATATTATTATTAAAGACACATTCACACGATCACAAAACATATATTAAAGACACATTCACACGATCAAAAGAAAAATATTAAAGACACATTCACATGATCAAAAGAAAAATATTAAAGACACATTCACACAATCACAAGAAATATATTAAAGACACATTCACACAGTCACAAGAAATATATTAAAGACACATTCACACAATCACAAGAAATATATTAAAGACACATTCACACAATCACAAGAAATATATTAAAGACACATTCACACAATCACAAGAAATATATTATTATTAAAGACACATTCACACAATCACAAGAAATATATTAAAGACACATTCACACAATCACAAGAAATATATTAAAGACACATTCACACAATCACAAGAAATATATTAAAGACACATTCACACAATCACAAGAAATATATTAAAGACACATTCACACAATCACAAGAAATATATTAAAGACACATTCACACAATCACAAGAAATATATTAAAGACACATTCACACAATCACAAGAAATATATTAAAGACACATTCACAGTCACAAGAATTATTTGAGATACATTCACACAATCGCAAGAAATATATTATTATTAAAGACACATTCACACGATCACAAAACATATATTAAAGACACATTCACACGATCGAAAGAAAAATATTAAAGACACATTCACGCGATCAAAAGAAAAATATTAAAGACACATTCACACAATCACAAGAAATATATTAAAGACACATTCACACAGTCACAAGAATTATTTGAGATACATTCACACAATCGCAAGAAATATATTATTATTAAAGACACATTCACACGATCACAAAACATATATTAAAGACACATTCACACGATCAAAAGAAAAATATTTAAGACACATTCACACAATCACAAGAAATATATTAAAGACACATTCACACAGTCACAAGAATTATTTGAGATACATTCACACAATCGCAAGAAATATATTATTATTAAAGACACATTCACACGATCACAAAACATATATTAAAGACACATTCACACGATCAAAAGAAAAATATTAAAGACACATTCACACGATCAAAAGAAAAATATTAAAGACACATTCACACAATCACAAGAAATATATTAAAGACACATTCACACAGTCACAAGAATTATTTGAGATACATTCACACAATCGCAAGAAATATATTATTATTAAAGACACATTCACACGATCACAAAACATATATTAAAGACACATTCACACGATCAAAAGAAAAATATTTAAGACACATTCACACAATCACAAGAAATATATTAAAGACACATTCACACAGTCACAAGAATTATTTGAGATACATTCACACAATCGCAAGAAATATATTATTATTAAAGACACATTCACACGATCACAAAACATATATTAAAGACACATTCACACGATCAAAAGAAAAATATTAAAGACACATTCACACGATCAAAAGAAAAATATTAAAGACACATTCACAAGATCACAAGAAATATACTAAACACTGACGGAAGAAATTTTAATACTTAAATTTTTATTAATGTACTGTATATTAGGTTTACAAAACAAATCAGTTATTAACTGTTATTTAATTTTATTAACTTGCTATTAAAATAATTATGATTTTCACATTGCTCATATAACCATGAAGAATTATATGACCAACGGTAAAGATGCGTTTCTCGGAGCACGTGACTAAAGTTAAACGCAAGGATATTTGGCTCACTCTAATTTTTGGCTCTCTATAATATTTGCATACTCTTCAAGCGCGCATTTTAATTGATCACTCACACTATTTGCTCTTTACTACTCTTTATACAAAAATACAATAGTGACGTTAACGTGGAATTTTGAATAAAAAAATTAACTTTACTAAGTTAATTGACGGATATAAATTTTAGGTAGGGTAGAGCAAGGCTAGTTGAGCATAGGGGCAAGTTGGGCAGTTAAAATATCTCAAAAACTACGCATTACATGAAAAAACATCTAATAGATGAAAGTTAGGGAAATAGAATGTTAACACAATGCGCAACAAAAGATTGCTGAAAAGCTATTGAGTAAGATACACGAGTACTCTTTCTATTTTGGTAAATAAATTTTTTTTTGCTATTTTTCTCTTGTATGCTTATAAACTTTTTTATCTGCCATCACTTAAGTGTTGATAATTTACCAATTTATTGGACTTTTGATTGAAATGAACTGTTTTTTCTAAAGTCTTACTATTCTTTTAAAATTCTTTTAAAACCTAACTAAAGCGTCACCTTGTCAAGTAGGGGTAAGTTGAGCAGCTTTGAGAAAATTAAAAAAAACTGAACTATCGAACAATAGAGCGGTACATTATTTATGTAAATTTTTAAAATTAGTAATTTTTTAATTGGGTTTCAAAGTTCAAGATAGTTGTATAAAATTACATTTTTTTATATTTCATGACACTTTCTCACTATTTAATTTTTTCTCTTTTTTTACTTACGTCATTAAAGCGTGCAAAATAAAAAGTTTATAAATTATACACACGCTTTATGTTAGTGAAAGTTTTATTGATGATTCACCCAATTTTTGTACCATACATATTCATATATTTGTTGATTTTTGAACTTACCGCACACTACTGCTCAACACCGGAGCTGCTCAACTTACCCCGCAGGGGTCAAGTTGAGCAGCTCTGCAAACTTTAGGCATTATCTTCTCAAAAAAATTAACAACTAAACTTTTTTCTTAACAAATTTTTAGCAGATTAACTTCTTTCAAATATAGACAAAATTATGTAAATCCGACGTACCGTTCATGAGATCTGTTAGATTTAGTAAAAATTACTCAACTAGCCCCGCTCTACCCAACTGTGCATACAATTGATATTTATAAAAAGCACACAAAGTTTAAACACACGTTTAACACACTTTTTCAGAATAACAAACATTTTTCTAAAAACACGTATATTGTAATGTGTATACTGTACACATGAATGTAGACATATAATAAAATAGAATATTTTTATTTTTTAATAAACATTAGTGTTAAAAAACTAAAACATAATATATGGTTTTGCCCATTTTGTCAAAACTCAAATAAAACGTAATAAATAACTTAAGGTTAAAAAGTTTAAAAGGTTTTAGGTTAAACTATTCACAAATCTAAAAATAAAACTTATTATAAATAAAAAAAATTAAAAAGAAAAAAAATCTCACAGATTTTGCATCATAAGCATCCGCCATAACTTCGAACCAGCCCTCTAATGTTGCCTACATAAACAACAAAACAACAAAAACTCTCTTTCTTAACAGAAAAGGTAAAAATGTATATCAGGGTTGCCACTCAAAATTTTTTCCTGAGTAAATAACGTTAATAAAAAAGTCATACAAATCAATTGAAAGTCATAAAAAACATGTAATAACAATCATCTTTATCTGTTCTAAATTGGAATTCAGCAAAAACTTTTTAGTAAGAAACTTTATCAATAAGTTTCTTCTTTGCATTGGTTGGAAATAACAAAACCATGTTAACGTAACATGAAATGCGCAAACTTATGATTATTTACTAATAATATTTATCTAATGAAAATATCATAATCAGTTATAGTTATCATAACTAATTTAAATTTGTTAAAAACTTGATAATTTTTTTTTTTTTTAATAGAAAAAAAAAAACTGCTCTTAGTTTTCCTTGAATATTATTAAAAAAATTTCGAGGGTAAGTTGAGTGACAACCCTGTTCTAAAAAAAGACTTACTGTTTGAAACAAGGCTAAAAAACCATCTATAGAGCTATCGAAGTTAATGTTCTTCTTCACCCACACGAAATCAGAATGATTTTTACACTGAAGTTTATTTTTTATTCCAAAGTTTACTTTTAGACGTGTATTTTGATCGGTAGAATTAGCACAATAGTAGAACTTCCCTCCAAAGAGATTGTAACCCATTATACTAAAAATCAGCCAAAATACCATACACACAAGTAACACATTGGCAATTGATGGAATTGATGATATTAATGCATTTACTACTATCTATAATAAATTCAAAGAAGATTTAAAAAAATATATTGATATGAATAAATTTAAATATTTATATTTATTTAGAAATATAAAAGTGAATATATACCAATGGTAAATGCTTTTATTTGACATTTTTACAATATCTAGATGAAAACTTACCTAGTTGTTGTTGATTTTAAAGGCCCTGTTGATAAGAGTTTTAATGAGTTCTAGTTTATAATTAATATTAGTGAAGCTGGTAAAATTAGTCAGTAAACCTGTGTTTTTTTATAAAAAAGTTGAAGTATCAGATTGACTATTCACAGAGTTGATCATCAAGAAAGTTCAATTTGTGATCAACAAGATAGATTGGTGAAACCACCAGACACTACACAACAAGAACTTCAGAACACTTAAACTTCCATATTTACAAACATCTCAATTCATCACAAAAATCCAAAAATTCAACAAATCTTGCTTTTCCGTTATTGATAAAGTTTCCTCCAAGTATGAGCTCAAAATTAAGAAAGGTATCCATATTAAGATGGAAAAACCTCTTCTTAATACACAATTAAAATCATACACTATTACTATAACAATATAATTTCCCTATTATCTTACTTTTTATTTCCTATTTTGTTTATTATTAATTTTCACACCTTTTGTATTATCTTTTGTAAAATTTCATGGAAATTATTTATTTTATGTAACTATGCCAACTATTGTAAAAACTATTAAATTTTTAATGTAGCCAAAAAAATTGTTTTATATACAGAAATTGTAACTAATTTTTTATACCTGATGATGACAATTGATGAAACATGTTGTCAAAAAGTTTTTAAAAAATTGTTATTTATTTGAAATATATATATATATATATATATATATATGTATCTATATATTATATATCTATATATATATATATATATATATATATATATGTATAATATATATGGGTGCATCAAACGCCCCATACTTTCAAAATTTGATCTGTCTCTATTCTCAAAACTTTTTATTGGTACTCACAAGACTTAAAAATTTCAAAAATAGTTATGATTTTTTGTTAAAAATACCTTAAAAAAAACTTCGACCAAAAACCATGAAAAAATGGCTTTTTTTAATTTTTTGCTAAAAAATAATTTTTATGCAATAAAACTTATAATAATAAATACTATGTAAAATTTTTATTGCTTTTGAAATTTTTTTATAAAATTTCGCTTCTTTTGAGACGCAACATGACATACAATTGAAAAACTTTTTTTTCTTCTGTTTAGGGTCTCATCGCAAGTTTCAGATTTGAGGTGGCCCCCCTAAATCTCATTCAATTTTGAAAAAATTTAACAGAGTGTGTCTTGTGAGTACCAATAGAAAGTTTTAAGAATAGGGACAGATCAATTTTTGGAAGTATGGTGC